TTCTCTGGCATTATACCTGCAGTGGTAACAGGTACAGGGGTGGGAGGCTGAAAAGGTGCGGGGGGCTGACAAGAGTGCTGGGGCCACCGGCAGGGTGCATCTGGGCTCCTTCTCCGGCCCCTCCGGCCTTCTCAGTCTGCAGTGCCCCGTGGTCTGGCCTCAGTGTGGCCCTCCGTGGTCCCTAGTCCCTCGTCCCTGAGTGAGGGGCCCTTCCAGCCTGGCACTGGGCACAGGTGCCCACACATGCATGGGCATGTTCCCCGGGCCCAGGTGCCCTGCCCACTAGTCCCGTCTGGGGAAGGGCGGGGGGGTGGGAGCCTGATTCTCTCATTTACCCTACAACACCCCTCCTATAGCAACCTTGATCTTCGGGTCACCGTCCTCTGAGATGCAGGCTCTTTCCTGCCTCACTGGGAATGTGAGTGATGAGGGGCGTGTGTGGAAGTCAAAAAGGCCTGTAAGAGGCTGTGATTTTAGGGTTCCCATTTCTTTCACCTCCTTTTCATATTATCAGCCTCTTGGGTTGGAGGGTCTAATGCATGAGACAGGTAAAGTACCTGCGTGGGACCCACCCCTTAATAATCAGTACTTCCCTCCCCTCCCCATCTCGGGACTGGGTTGGGGGGTGAGTTGGCAGGGGAGGGGTGTGGGAGGGTGAATGCACAGCCGAGTGCTTTCTAAGAACATCAAAATGCAGCTGCACAGACCTCAGGAGGTGGACAGTGCTGGCCTCAGAGAACTGGCCAGGCCAGACTGTACTCCCAGACAGTACCCCCGTGGGAGGCACTACAAAGGTGGCTACAGCCTGTTCTGATCTTGGCAGGTTCCAGGAGATCCCACGGTAGCCAGGGGTCAAACTGACTCTCGAGCAAGGCCTGTCTCCTTCCCTGTCTCCTGGCCTCTCCTCCCTCTCCTCACACACAGCCTCCCATTCCATGGCCACCGGGCGCTCCTACCCCTGCTCCCCCTGGTGCCTGCTCCCCCTTCAGTCACTCCCCTCAGCCTTAGCCCAGATCTCACAGCTGAGCAGAAAAACCACCAGCAGCTGTCACTCTCCAGAGTTACAGAATTAATTGGCTCAAGGGAACAAAGGGAATGAGCCAGAGTTTTGGCCATGGCATTCGGTGGTGTGGGAACAAATACACAGCATGTACACTCAAATATACACAGACGGGCCCTATACCAGTGACATTCTACACGGAAAGGGTAAGCAGACACAGGTACCTACCTACACAAAGCACATGCAAATAACATGTACCCTCATGGCCTAGGGGTTATAAGTCTCAGTGCTATCAACACTATGGCCCAGCTCCCTGGCCGGGGAGGTGACCCACATGGCACAGCAGACCTCTCCTGTCTCCCCACTGCTCCCCTCAGCAATGTATCTCAGTAAACCCACCTTTTCTGCTCCCCACTCTGTCTCTGGTGAAACCTTTCACTTTCCGCACTTATGGCCTACACCCCGGTTCTTCTATGCAAAGAATAAATCTTTAAATAAAAAAATGTGAACCTACACAACTTATACAAATTTATCCACACTAAAGTACATATAAACAAAGGTAAATAAAGTAAAAATACAAACCCAAAGAAATGCGCCTTAGCAATGAAACCATCCTTTTCAATTTCTCCTTATCTCACCTAATGCCACTTCTCCCAGTCATCACAGTGCTTCTATGGCAATCTGTGTACTAAGGATTCATGGCAGAACTTACAAAGGATTGCAAAGAAAGAGCTGGAATAAAGAAGGGCCTGGAATTTCCAGGCTGGGAACTTCCAGTCTCCTACCGTAACAGCAGCAGACACACTGCGGTCACCAGATGTTGTAAGAGCTTTACGTGCAATTCCACATTGGCTCCACATTAACAACCCCACAAGTAAATACTGTTATTATCCTCCCATGTAGCCAAGGAAATAGGCTCAGGGTAGTTAAAATTTTCAGAGTATCTGCCTGTTCTGCTCACCACTCTGTGTCTAGTGAATCTTTTTACCTCTTGCACCTCTGGCCTATACCCGTTCTTCTTTGCAAAAATAAATAAATAATTTAAAAATAATGTTACATTACTCACATGTTTTCTCGGGACCTCCCCCTTGGTCTAGGGCCTTTGGAGAGAGTCAGCGGTATGAGATCCGGCCCTCGTGGGCCTGGCTCAGACGTCTGAGCCCCCACCCTGGGACCCAGCCCCTCACGGTGACATGGCACTTGCCTCACTGCCTGTCTCCCCTTTTGTCTCTGAACACTCACAGCCCAGGCTCCTTCCTGACTATTTTTCAAAAAGATTTATTTTATTTATGCATACAAGAGCTGGGGTACAGGCCAGAGGTGCGGAAGGTAAGAGGGGTGAGAGAATTCACCACAGACAGGGTGGGGGACAGAACAGGTGGCTGACTGAAATACACTGCTGAGGGGAGCAGCAGGAGGGACAGGAGAGGTCTGCTGTGCCATGTGGGTCAGCTCCCTGGCCGGGAATGGAACTCTGCTGCAGTGGCTGAGATAGCTTCACAAGTGCTGAGACTTAACCCCTTGAGCCACCAGGGAGGGCCTCCTTCCTGACTATTGTCCCATGGACCTCTATGGAAATTTCCTGCTTCTTCTCCCCACCTAGGAAGCCCTGGGGCAGTTCACTTCACCTACCTCTCAGTTTTGTTCTCTGTGAGTTGGAAATTTATGATTTCTTCTTGTTTTGAGGATAATAATAATAATTTTGAGACAACAAAATCCAAACAAAATTGAATCCAATCAAAATTGAAAAACATTGACAAGGATAGTTAGCCCAGCTGTAAACAAAATTGAAAAACATTGACAAGGATAGTTAGCCCAGCTGTATTCACTCTACATCATCTATGGGGTCTACAAATTAATAAGCAACATGCCAGGTATATTAGCGATTTAGATCTTCCCCAGTAACTGTCTTGCTTTTCTTCTTAATTAGACCATCCCTGAATTTTAGCTAGTGGTTGCCCAGAATAAGGAAAATATTTCCAGTCTACCTGGAAGCCAGCGTGGCCATCTGGATGAACTCCGGCCGACGGATGGTAGTGGACGGCATGTGTGCAAGTTCTCAGTGGTCTGCTTAGACGGAAAGGTGTGTGCGTCTTTCCGTGTCTGCAATAAAGACTTGACAGGGGAAACTGTAGCAGCGTCTGGGGTTACGTAATGAAACTGATGAGGATGATGGAGCATCAAGTCGGAAGGGAATTTCCCCTGCTGAATCGGGAAGCTGTTATGATATACTTAACTGCTATTTGGGACTTTTATCTAAGAAAAGATTCAGCAAGGAAATCCAGTTTGTCTGCTAGAGTCATTGCAAAGGGGAAAGTGTGTGCTAAGACATCTTAAATAAAACATCAGGTGATGTTACAGGTTATAAGAGAAATTCCCCGCATTCTAATAGGAGAGACAAAAGATTAACCAAAACAAATCTAAAAAGAATGTATAAATCTATAAAGGTCACAAAACAAATTCTCTGGTGCTCGGTGGTGGCAAGTGGGAGCACCGTTACCTCGGGCGACCAGGCAAGTCTTCGGCAAGGAGGTGGGACTCGCCACGAGGCCGAGCGATGAACGGTACCCTGCCGTGGAAGGCCTGTGAGAACTTACAGGAAGGACCGTGGCGAGTGCTAAGGTCCTGGGAAGCAAGAGAAGCAAGCTCAAGTCCGAAAAGATTCCCTGCTACCACAAAGAAAAATACCGGCTGGTTTCACTTACAGGAGGAGCGAGGGGCAGCATGTAAGGGACCAGGAGAAAAAGACACAACAAGCAGGCAGCTATGAACAGGTGTTCAGCGGTGGGAGGAGGGGAGAGGAAAACAGGGACTGTGATCACGGAACACAGGTGTTCCGGTGGTGGGAATTTTATGGGGACCACACATGAGAGGAGTCAA